GTCTTAGTTACACCAAAATAAAAATATTAATCTGCTTTACTGTAAGCTTTCACATATGTGCCAGTTTTGCAGAGGTAACATTTGGCTCCCAGACCACAACATAATATTCTGAAATACAATTTGAGTTGCTTCATTCAGGACATTAACAGGGCCATTAGAACAGGCAGTTCCACCACCACAGCAGTGGTTCTGTGGATCATTCATCCTTGGCCACTAACACAGGGCTTAATAACACCAAAGAGTTACTCCTTTCCAGGAAATTGAACTGCTCCTAAACACTTCCAAACTTGCTGTGGTAGCAATTAGAATTATCAGGGCTTTATTAGAGTATTGCATTTACAGCACAGAGAAAGGTATCAGAGAAATATAATAGGAAAGCAAAATTCTGAAGAAGAAAGTACAGCTTCCAGAGGACATATCTATTTTATGAGACCAAAGTATGTAAAATAAATTTAAACATATATTTCATTAATTCTAAACTCCTTTCAGTCCTACTAATGGAAGGCTGCAAGGACTCAGTTTTAAAATGTCATTTTTATATAACCCAAATATTTAGAATTGTATTGAGATTAAGAGTACAAATCAAGGCTGCAAATTACTTAATATCAGACTGACTTTTTACATGCCAAAGTAGAATTTCCAAACACAAAATAAAATCCCAACCAACTCCAACAACAACATACACAAAATTTGAAGAATCCTCAGTTTTCCTATCAGCACACAGGAAATATAGTAACGAGAAAAATTTCAGTCCAGCAAAGCACATTAACTACATGATAATAGGACCCACTTCTTACATGAGACAGGTATTAATACTGAATTTATGTCGAGGATACTCAAGCACAGATTAAAAAAAACAAAGCATGGTCCAAACCCACTCGGGAGATCAATGAGAAATGATATAAGGTCTCCAAAATATCAGTGCAGTGCCAACAGCCCCTACACTTCCCTGTGACTGAAGCACACTGAGCTCTCCCTTTCACCACTTAACAGGAGATTACCTTAAGACACAGTGAAACCTACACTGAAGTTTTCCTGGGGATACTTTAATCATAAGGTAGCAAGAAAATATGACAAGAAAATACATCAAGGGGTAACAGTCAACACTAAAAATATACCGTACAGTTTGTAAATTAAACTGAAGATAGAACATACATGAAGAACACCATCAGAATTACTTATTTTGAATATGTGAACTGTTTTGGGGGCTTTTTCCTCAGAAACGTATGAAAACTTGAATGTAACGATTCTATGAGTTATCCGCAGAAAAGGGTAACTGTGCAATTTTATCTGACGGAAAAAGCACTTCAAATGCATTTGCTGTTGCTTGATACTGTAGCAGTGACACGGTCTGGAAATACACCGAAGGGTTTCTGATACAATCACAACAATTTGTTTCCTTGTTCAGTGTAATCCATAAAATTCACAGGTGCACTGACAGGGACTAACCAGGACTCTATCCAGCTGCAGAAGCCATCTCACTTTAACCACACATGTAACTAAAGGGATATAACCCCACAAGCATAGGCAGATCATAAACAGATTATATCCCACAGAGGAAAGGGAACAACCTGTGAGTGTATCCACAGGACAGAGAACAGCAAGATGTGTGGATCTCTTAAAGCTTCAGTTGTTACGATTTCCCTCATCAAACAATCTACACTGGTGAAACTTTGTGCACAGCACACACAAGAATAAAATCAGAAACTTCGCGCATGTTTTTTTTGTAAAAACTAAGAAAGAAACTGTTAGCTTTAAAAAACAAAAAGCAATTAAATGAGACATTTAGCACACGTTGAAAATTATGTACACCCTTCTGCTATTCTCCACAGGATCCTGGCCCAAGTGTTTTCCAACATCCAGGACATATTGTCCATGCTCCCTATTCTTGAGATGTGTTTAATGGAATGCACAAATCATATTCCAAAAATTAGTCTTGCCTGGGTTGCTTGTAAGTTCATGTGAAAAAAAAAAAAAAAATTTTTAAAAATGTAATTCATTGCAAGGCACAAAAAATTTTTTAAGGGTGTCATACCAGATCTAGTCTCATATTAGGATGAAATTGTTTACTGTGAAGATGTGAGGCACTGGCACAGGTTGCCAAGAGAAGTTGTTGATGCCCCATCCCTGGAATGTTGGGATGGACGGGGGCTTAGAGGAACCTGGTCTAGTGGAAGGTGTCCATGGCAAGGGGTTGGAACTGGATGATCTTTAAGGTCCCTTCCAACTCAAGCCATTCTGTGATTCTCCCTCCCAAAATCACACTCATCATTTACTTAAGACATAACTGCAAAAAGGGACACAAAACTATTTAAAAAAAATTAAAAATACTGTGACTGTATCTCTAAAATTACACTATATGTCACCATTTAAGAAAAAAAGAAAATGTTTAATATTTTTTTTAAAAACCCACAACAACAAGCTACACAGAGAAATATCACACAGATGTGTTAAGTACTTATATGGTTATATTGTTAATTGACAGACTGCCGTGGCGGGAATGAGGGAAAGCCATGGACTACTCCATGGAGACCCGGGACATGTGGCTAATTGAGGCGATACTTCAGGACAAAACCAGCGCTTGATTTATTGTTGTTTACACACATCGCAACCCGGGGCCTCTGGGCAGTGTCAAATCTCAGCTCCTAATCGCGGCCGCGTAAACACCCGGGAACCCCCGCCCGGGTGTCAAGGGGCTGTCTGCCCATAACCGAGCCGGGAGACAGCGGGGTCACACCGAAAACGGGATAAAAACAGGGGGAGAAACCAACACCGCCGCGAGCAGGCTCCGCTTTCTATGAATCGGGGACGGGGGGAAAGCATCCCCAAAATCGGGGGCTGGGGGCACCTCCTGCATCCCCTTCATCCTCCTCCCGCGGCAGCGCAGGTGCGGAGGGAGGGAGGGATGGAGAGAGAGGGAGAGGAGGAGAGAGGGAAGGAGGAAGAGAAGGAGGGAGGGAGAAAGAGAGGGAGGAGGGAAGGAGGAGGGAAGGAAGGAAGCAGCTGCCGCGGTCGGAGCCCCCGGTCCGGCCCGGTGGGGCCCGGGGCGGCGGCGATGGGCGGCGGCGGCGATGGGGACCGCGGAGCGCCCCCCGTTCCCATCGCCACCCCCCCTCCAGCCCCTCCAAGGAGCGGCCAACACGGCACTGCCCCTTTAAGCATCACGTCGCCTCCTCCTCCCTCACCCCCCCATCCCATCGCCCCCTCTCCTCCTCCTCCTCCTGCTCTTCCTCCTCCTCCGCGCGGACCCGCGCGCGCTCCCGCGTCCTCCCCTCCTCCCCGCGCGCGCGCCCCCGCCGGGACACAACGGGCGCACCGCGGCCCTTTCCAGAACCTTCCTCGCTCCGCTTCCCCCCCCACACACACCCCCGCCTTCCTCCCCCCCCGTCTCCTTCCTTCCCTCCCTTCCCCTCCCCGCGCCCGCCGCCACCGCCCCTTTAAAACCCCCCGTTCCGCTACGGGCGGCGCAGCCCCGTCTCTCCCTCTCTCTCCCTTCTCCTCCCCCCCCCCACCCTCCCTCCGCCGCCGCCGCCGCCGCCGCTCTCCCTCTCCCCGCTTTTTTTCCACCCCTCCGGGGAAGCCGCTCTGGCGGCTGCCCGTGCGGCGGGCGCGGCGGCGGGCGCGCCGTGATGGACGGCGGGGCTGGAGCGGGGTTTGAGTGACAGCGCCTACCTCGGGTGCCAATCTTCGTCACACTGACAAGCGGCTGCAGCAATCGGGACCCGCACCGCCGCCGCGCGCGTCACCGCGCGCCGCCGCTCCCGCCCAATCGCCGCCCGCGCCGCCCCGCGACGACGCGCCGCGCCCTCATGCATATTCATGACGCGGGGGGGGGGAGGGAGGGGGCTCGGGCGCACCGCCCACTCCGCGTTGGTTAGCGGTCGTGAATATTAATTAGGGGGCGGGGTTAAGTCGGAGCCACGCCCCCTTCTCACCCCTGTGTGAGGCGGGGAGGGGGTGAAACCATTGCTGGCGGCGGGGGGGGGAGGAGGGAGGTACCAAGTGGTTCCGCCATGAGGGAGAGGCAGCGGCCGCCATGGCGGGGTCCCGCTGCCTTTCCTCTCTACTCGCCCTGGGGTCGCCTCAGGGGGGCACTCCCCCGGCTCGGCAGAGTTCCCTGCCTCCCTGCGGGTCACCCCGCCTTGTGGGGGACCCTTGCCTTGCTGGTTGGGGCTGCGGGTCACCCCGCCTTGTGGGGAGCCTTGCCTCCCTGGTTAGGGCTGCGGGTCGCCGCGCCTTGTGGGGTTCACCCCGCCTTTGTGGGGTTCACCCCGCCTTGTGGGGGTCACCCCGCTTTTGTGGCGTGTCTCCCGGGAGTATCGGCCCCGAGGAAGTGCCGAGTGTGCGGGACCTGCCGCGGTGGGGGCTCCGCAAAGGCTGTCCCAGAAAGTCGGGGGGAGGTTCTCGTCTGCCGGGTGTGGGGTGAAAGTGCCCGGCAGAGCCTTGGGACCCTTCCAGCCCCGAACCCGCGCCCCCCTGCTCCTCCAAACACCCCCAAACTGCGCGGTCTGAGTGAGGGCGGACCCTGTACTATCCCTCAGGATCCTGCTCCGTATCCAGCCCATGGATCAGGTCCTGGTTAGGTCCTCCTACGCTCCCCAATAAAGCTGCTTGCTGGGCACACATGACTTTTCTTGTACTGAAAAATCCACTTGGAAGAAACCACCGCTATCACAGCTCCATCCCTCATGAGTTACTGTTCAACATTCCCCCTTTCCCCCAAGCTGTTCCTAAGGAAGGGGTAGGAGAGCAGCAGGAATGTGGTTTCAGACAGGTGCCCTGTGGCTTGGCCATTCTGCTGTTGGGATATTTAAAAAGTTTCTCTGCTGTGCAAAAGGGCTTGAATGCCTTTCAGTGATGTCACAGGTGATCTGTTGTCTCCACCTTGTTCCTCACTCCAAGACTTCTGAAAGATCATCTTTGCAACCCCTTGCTGTCCTTGAGGGCAGAGGTTGTCGAGGGGACAAAGAAGCCGACACATACAGACCAAATCTCATCTTAGGAAGCTCAGTTTAAAACCAAAGCAGGCTTAGTTTCACGTTTTGTAGCCCTTCTGCACAACAGCAACTGTGAATCTACTTGATCCTGTACCCGGTAAACTGGGAATACCCTACCTTTTTTCATGGTTAATGCCACTCTTCCTGATGGTTTTACAGTAGCAAGTGACCTGTTTTTTTCTTTTAATATATAACACTTTCCTGGGCCAGGCCACTTTTTAAAAATCTGGGTAATAGTTTGGCAATAGAAACAGCTACTTAAAAGTTCCTGTAAGCCAGGTCTGCCCTCAGTGCTGTGCACATCACTGCTGTGTCAAGACCCTGCTCAAACCAACACAGTTGCTTCAGGAATCTGGTCACTCTGTTCGCACTGCCACCATTTGTCCACTGACAAAACAGTTGCTCCATCCTCAGACTGCCTGGAGCCTTTACAAGAGTTCCTTTTCTAGCCTTTTTTCCCCCGTACAGTCAGAACCACACAGACATCAGGCTTGTCAACAGAGAGGGAACTGTACAGAGAGAGTGGGAATGGAAATGAACTGTGCTAATCCAGAGTGCTCAGATGGCTGAATCAGGGCTCAAAGTTAATGGGAATGATTTATATAAACAAGATTAAAAAAACCCAAACAACCAAACTCTTAGTTTGTCTCATTCACAAGAGCCTCTTTCTCTGTTTCCGCTCTTGTGCCGTGTAACAACACCTCTAATAGAGTTCCTGTGGCCAGGCTGGCATCTTCTGCCGCAAGTTTCAGCTCCCATTATCCCTGACACATTCATGAGTGACACATTCACTAAACAGTGCTTAAAATTAACTGGCTCCCATGCCCAGACCTGCCTCTTCTTCAAATTTGATTCTCCCTGCAACCCCTTTGTTCTCTTCTGCCTCGCCTGCACTTCTTTAGATAGGAGTTCACCGATTTCTTTTGAGACTGTACAAATTAAATTCAAACTAATTTAGTTTCTGTTTCATCTCTTCTCCCAGTGATCTTTATCGATGCCTTTCCTAACTTGAATTTTCTTTTCTCCTCCTGCTTCCCATTGCGTTTCCTTCCCTTCCTGCCTGCCACTTTCTCTTCCCCAGCTCCCCCCTCACACACAACAGGTGTAGGAATTCCTCATCTGCTCTGTTTCCCCCTCACCCCAGTAATCCCATCTTCTGGTCTCCTTTGTAGTTAAAGTTACTCCATCCTTTACTCTCCTCAGCCTCTTACACATTTTGTGATCTCAACAGACGTTTTAACTCCCTCGATCTTAAAGCGTGTGATCAGAATGAAGAAAGCCTGGTTCCCCACACATCTGTGCCTCACGGTTTGTTAACTTTAGGGTCTAAGGTACAAGCTTGAACTGAAATCTCTTCCAAAGCTGAGATGTACTTAAGGTCTCTCTTTAGACAGCGGATGCTGTTGCCTAAAAAGCTCCTGCTGCAGCCTTTCCATCATTCAGGGAGTACATGACACATCCTCCCTGCTCCACAACTTATTTTCATGAAACTAAACTATTCTGACAGCTTTAATCCTGTCTGGAGTAAGCCACTAGGTTAAAACGTTATTAACCGATGGACACACCCCAAATATACCTGTACCTACATGACATGACTGTATAAACCTCACTCCCACAAGAAAGTAATCTAAAAATCATTCTTGATCCAACTCGTGCCTTCCAGCTCGCTGAAAGAACTGACCCCACCCGCTGTCAAGAGGTCCTTGCTTTTCAATTTGTCTTCAGTTGTCTCTGACACAGCCTCTGCAGGCAGGAAAGCTAAGCTTAAATTTTTAAAATGTCACAGCTGAAATGGCTCCAGGAGATGAAGATTTAAGAAAGGCACTAGAAATTACAGGGCTTTTGAGAGAAGCTGGCAACTTGGAAAACAGGAGCAGCAGTGGAAAAGGATGATAAAGTAACTGATGTGTGGTTCAAAGGCAAACAACAAAAACTCCCAGTAGAAAGTGATAGGACAGGTGCCCTTTTCTTCTCTGTTTCTAATTGTTCAAACTGTGTTGTCCCTCATCACTTCTGCAAAAGAACAAGAGTCCAACCCATAGGATGGAAGACAGCACTCGTGAGGAAATTCTCCATACTACACATCTTGTAAGGATTATTACACAACTGATGAGTTTTATGCTCTGAACTCCCATTGGTATGGGTGCACTCACTTCAATGCAGTGGTGAGAGGGCTGCTTTTCTTTCTAAAAAAGCAAAAGCCACATTCCAGGGTGAACAAAATGCCATTTTAATATTTTGTAATAGCAAGTTACAAGTACGTAAAAATGAGGTTTGGTAATATTCAGGCAAATAACAGAACACTCAGATTCTCCAACTTCTGTTACCTTCTTTACATTGTACGTATTAAATAAGCTTATAAAATATAGCTCATTACCTAAAGCATGCCCAGATATGTTTGCGGGGTCAGGACCTCAGTTGGTTACTGAGAACAGCCCCTAATATATAAGAGCATTCCTCACAGTTGGCCCAAATATTTGCACACACTAAGCTCACCAAACGAGACAGGCACTCTCCCAAATCTGTTCACTGAAACACACTTTCAGTAGCAATTTAGTGACAGGAGGATTGTGTAGGTGTATTGGAGGGCAAAACTGTATCCTACATAGAGCTGCTAGAGGAATTAAGCTTAGTCTGACATCCTTCAGTCATTTTCAAGATCTGAATATTACAACTGCGTGCATAATGTAACATTAACATGCACTTAACCTGTTCAGAAAATGATCTCTTCTTATGGCTCTTGACTCTGTGAATTGCAACTCTTTCATAATTAAGTTTTCAAAGGAAATATTTGCATAGAGGTGAAGGGATGAGCTTCCATACAGGTGGCAGTAATCTGTACTCGTAACTCGTGGAATAGAGATTGTAATTGCAGTGATAAGACTGGAATAATCTAAACAGAGCAGGGTTTTCCCCAAATTTCCATAAAAATCAGGTGAGTTTTTGAGTGTTGATCTCCTGACAATGGGAGGCCTCTGCAGAAAACCCGTTTCTCCTTTCGTCACTCGAAGGGAGCAAAAAGGATGTAGTAAGATATGTCAACAGCTCTGATGTCCTCTGGCTGTTTGGAGAGCATTCCAAAGAGCAGCCTCGGTGCGCCCTGTTTGCAGGCACAGCACATTCACATCTGCAGCCACAACTTTGCGTGGTCTAGGAGGAGCCTGGGAAAAAAATGTGTGACTTACTTTATAATGGATATAGCTTTTAAGATTTTAAAGCCGAAATTAATGAGTTAACTCAGTCTAAATAAATGTCAAGCTTTGCTTGAACTAGATCATGGAGATCTGCGTAACTCAGCTGGGAACACTCCCTCTGGAGAAATTAAGAGCTCACGTCCCACAGCAGGACTTGGGCTCAGACCAAGAGCTGGCACTGCAGTGCAGCACTACTGCATGGAGTTTCTGTGTAGGGATCAGGATGCCATCCTTTGGATGAGCTGTTATTGTCTTATGTTTTTCCACCCTCTCTATTCAGCAGAAGAACTTAAAGTCTCCTTCAAAAAAAAAAAAAAAAAAAAAAAATTATAAATGTCTTATTCAATATTTCTCCTCATTTTGAATCAAATTTGAATTTTCCAGAGCTGTACATTAGCTGAATCACTGGCTGCACACTACTCACTCCATCTGTTTATATGGTTGAGTCACTGCATTACCAATATTTTAACACGTTACTTGGAAAGAATTTTCGGTGATCTGGAGGATAAACCCCCAGAGCTCAATAAGATAATGTTCCCTTCTCGGTGTTCTGTAGCACCATACTCTACATTGCTCCCTTTCTGCTATCGGAGATGTTAATTGGAACAAACTGCTATTTTAGGAAGAAGAGCTTATCATAAAGTACAGCTTCCACTTAAAGGCTGGAGAACGAGCTGTGATGTGGAAATCCACTGTCACCTCCCCACGTGCCATGCCTCGCCCTGGGAACTGTGCGAGGAGTTCCGTGGTGTTGGGACAAACGTCTTTGGCCACCCAAGGTATCTTTTTGACACTTGAGACACTATAAAGAGATTACCTTCTGAGGGCAAACTGTCTGCTTTTAGTGATGCCAAAAGTTGAGAGTATCCTATTGTTTGACTGCAAAGTTTCTTAAAAAATGCATTAAAAGAAATTTTTATTCACCTCACTGGGGGAGAGGGGAGGCAAAAAACAGAGCCAGAAGGACAGCGGTAGAATTGCTAATACACATCTTATTTTATGAAAAACATAAAAAGAGAATATTTTGAATGACTGTCACCATGGAGGACTATGAATGCATTCATGTTATTCTGGGAGTTGAGAAGCAGAAAGTGAAACCAACTGAAATAAAAGAAAACCAGTGAGACTAGTTTTACTTTTCAGACCAGGGGTTAGATCCAGCTCTTGCAGAAGTCAGTGGAAAAATTCCCACCGGCTCGAGCAGGATTTGGATTCAGCAAAGTGAAATGCAGAAAAAATAACCAGGAAGCATTAATGAGAGGTTCTCAAACACTGGTCTACAGAGCACTTTCTTCAGCCTATAGAGACCTGACTTTCCTCTCCATTACTCACTTACTTCCAGCTGCTTTTATGGGTTTCTACGTTTTGGAGCCTAGAAGGACCAAGAGGTGTTGGGAACAGGGAATGAGAATGGCCGGCCGGCCAAGCCAGATCTTTTGCAGCTGGAAGAGGAAAGGATTCAAACTGCTGAGCAAATAGAGAAGAAATAAAGAAGGGACTATCTGAAGGAGCAGAAGGCCATTAAGCTGAGAGGATTAGGTGGCCTTCAGTGAGGATTAGGTGCTTTGCTGCCTAATGCAACTGTCTAGCCAGGCACCTGAGCTTCCAGCACAAAGCAAGAGAAAAGCTGAGCTCCACACAGATGTCTGTGCAGAGCTAAAAGCAAATAGGAAATGCCAAGGGCAGGAGCATTCCACAAACATTCCCCTCCTCGTCTCCACCAAGTTGGGATTTGTGGTAACTGCCGTGCACTCCCAGCCCTGGGCTGAAAGTAGCCAAGCCTGTCTCTGATGGTCCTCACTGCACCATATCCTCCAGGCCCACATCCACACTGTCATTCCAGAGGTGACACACGTTTCTACCACCACATCTAGCCGAAGCCCTTCCTCTTTGGAGCAGCCAGGCATCTGGACCAGGCTACAGATCAGCTGATGGTTTATGCTTGGGGCAGCATTCCCATTAATGCTTTCAGGCTCTTCCACAACAGAATGGCTGTTGTCATCTGAGTACAAGGATACCACATCCAGGCGTGACAGATCGGATGGACAAAGTTGGCACCCGGCTCTTAAGTGCTGGGCAATCCTTTCCTCCACGTGTATGTGTGGATCACACGGCCCTGAGTCCAACAGCAGCCAGTAGTTAAGTGCTTTGTGAAAGAGTGACCACAACTGCCTCAGCCCTCCTCTGGTGTATCTTAGGAGCTCCTGGGGTTGATAGTTTACAAAGTCACAGAATCATTTAGGTTGGAAAAGACCTCCAAGAACATCGAGTCCAACCTTTGACTCATCCCCACCTTGTGAACTTGACCTCAGCACTTAGTGCCACATCCAGGCATTTATTGAACACCTCCAGGGATGGTGACTCCACCACCTCCCTGGGCAGCCCCTTCCAGTGCTTAACAACCCTTTCCATGAAGAAATTCTTCCTGATGTCCAACCTGAACCTCCCCCGGCACACCTTGCATCTTTCTAAATCAGAAGTTGCAATCAGACCATCATATTCCATAGCCACTGGCAGACTCCTCCTCCATTAATTCCTTTATTCTTTTTTTTGAACCCACTTACAGATTGCAATTCTATAATGCCCTTCTACCTGCCAGTGGCTTATATTACCTAAGTCAGCCTTTCTTCATAAGACAGAGAAGATACAAGAGTCTTTCTGAACAATTTTTCTAAGATTCATTGTTGAGAAAATATTTTAGGAAAGCAAGGCTTTTGTCAGCACCTTGCAGAGCAATAAGGTACAGAGATCCCCATACTGGCTCTGCATGAAATAGCTTTGGATCTGGAAGCAGTAGGAGAAATACCAACCTCACGCTGTGCCCTGGTTAGTTGGTGGGCTGGGAAGCAAACTGGCTTGAGCCTGAACACTCTGCCAGCAAGGCAGTGCTGCTTCTGGGATCCAGGCTTGTATCCCTGCCAAGGTCTGCTTCTTCCTCTGAGAAAACTGGCCCATTCAGCCCTGGACTGGGGATCAGCAGCACAGAGATGCTTTGTGTCCCAATGGCACACCCCTAGGGGCTTTCTCCCAAAGCTCTGCAATGCCTGGAGATACAGACCCGCCTCCCCCTGGAGCATCTAACAGGCAGGGTGAACTGCTTGGTGTGCCCAACACCACTGGCACACGCTGCTTCCCACCCATGGGACCTTCCTGAGGTTCTCCAGCAGACCTTGCTCTCCTGGTCAAGACTTGTCCACATTGAACAAGTAACTCTGGTCTGGTGAGCAGCACATTTACTAGGGAGAGGGGACAGCTCGGCCCCAGCTCACTTCCCCAGTCAACAGCCAGTGCAGTCATGCTGGGTGGCTTTTTTCCTCTCTTAGCCAAGGAGTTTTGCCCAGAGAAATTGTGGATCCTCCATCCTCGTGACTTTGAGCAACCTGGTCTAGTGGAAGGTGTCCCTGCCCATGGCAGAGGGTTGGAACTGGATGATCTCTAAGGTCCCTTCCAACCCAAACCATTCTGCGATTCTGAGCCCTGGAGAAGAGACTTATTAACAACTCACTCCCTTTTACTCATGTAAGGCATAAGTCACATCAGTAAGGGCTGGAATTTCCTTTTCTTTTTTCTTAAATCTAGTAAGTTAAGTTCGTGTAGATTGTATATCTTTTCTAATAATCTGTATATTTTGATAGATTTACTTTCATAAATGTGGCATTGATCAGGGTCAGACAGAACACTGTGAAATCAGCAGAGACCTTTCAAACAGTGCCAGAAACAATACTGCTTATGGCTTTGTAGCTGTTCATAGAGAGCAGGATCAGCACTGAAGTCCATTTCATAACTAACCTCTACACTCCATAAGTAGTTTAAAGCAACAGAAAAGGCAGTGATGAAATATGCTCTTCATCGAGAGGTGACTCCTTCTCTGCTCCCTCACCATTGCAGAGATTTACAGTTCAGCTGCCTCCAGGGTTTGTTTCCCTCAATTCTCCTTTCTGACTATTATCCCCGAACCCAGTCAAAATTGTGCTTTTGTTTTGCACTGCCTTCTCCAGTTCTCTTCTAAAAATGGTCATGTTTCTGCTTTTCCAGTCGCACAGGAATTGAAAAGCTGTGTCAAACCCAGCTTGTTTATCTCAGTACAACATCCCACGTACAAAACGTGTGCCTATTTTGGCTGTCAATCTTCATTATTTTCTCTACTTCAATCAGACCCAGGAAAACAATCACAAAACACTCAGGGGATTTTTTTTTTCCCCTTCCTCTGTGTGCATCCAAAGGATGCTGGCATTCCTTTGGCTGCAAAGTAAGTGTATTCCCTGACTTCACAGCCTCCATAGGCAGCAGTACAGCTCCCTTGCTGCATAGTTTGTGTGACAGACCGCGTTTGCACAGTGAGATTCAATCCTGTCTCCTTGGAGGGACTGGGGCTGCCTTTGTCTCTTTAAAACTTGTGAGCAAAGTTTTCAATTATCAAAGGTTTGGTGTTTTGTGTTCCCCCCCCCCCCCCAATTAGTATAACCTAAGTTGCATGTAGCCAGAATCTGTGGTGACTATAAATTCCAGCTGCTCCCCTAACAGACCACAGAATGGTAGGACACTACTGAGACAGTTAAACATGGAAAAAAAAAAGGAAGCTTTCAGAACCCCCATTTTCCTGCCGTACCTAGACCCAGCCTTGCCCCTTTCTCATACTCCAGTTCAGTTTTGTATCACCACCTCCACTGCTGACAATACTTTTTTCAATGGGAATATCAGAGCCACAGCCACTGCCAGAATCTCTTGGCAAACGAGCTGCTCTCTGAGTCAGAGCCTAATGCCATTACAAGGTCTGCAACAGCTGCAGCAGTCATACATCTGCAAGTCATTTGAACATTTTATGATGAATAAAAACTATCCATTACATAGAACTATACATTCTATATTAACCCTAATACTTATTCAGTTACACTAACAATAACCTTTTCCCTCTGCATGCTGTAAACTTCTTTGGCTGCAGCACATGTTAACAGAGGGACTCAGAGCTCCAGTCCATGGTGGAGCAGTCCCTGTGTACATATTACCTAACTTTTCTACCTATTTAAACACAAAATGATGGAAAGAAAGAAAGAAAGTGAATGCAAAGCTATAAAAATTCATACCATGCATAAGGAAAACATTTTTATATAACTGTATGAGACTGCATACACTCACAAAAATAGAGAGGACACAAAACAATGAGAAGTGCAGAGAACATGGACTCAAAGTGTCTAGTTAAGAGATCTGATTATGCTATGCACAGATCTTAGACCCATCCAGATGTCTCCAGCCAGCAACACGATCCTCAACAGCACAGCCAAGATTTGAAATCTACAAAGTCAGAATTCCGACGGCAGGGCAGCAGGGCTCATGGAAAAAGAAACTGGAATTGTGAGGAGTTAAAATCCTTTAAAATAATAACGAGAACAGAGAAGCATAAATGTGGTTTCATGAAGGAAATGTATACAGAGCCGCAAATTATGAAGTCAGCCCTCCAGGACATTACATTCCTCGTGGAAGCTGCTGAGCCCGCTCTACATAAATAGGTGTAAAATACACTCACCGGCTTAGTGACTTCAAGGATGGAGTCCCATATGTGATTCCCTACCAGTGAGTCTTCTACATATGTACACTTTTACAACAGTAAATGCGAACTGGGCAAGACATACCTCCCTATGAGTTTCACCATAAGAGTTTTAAAGAGACAAGGCGAAAGTCTGGCGTGACAGAAATTATCATAAATTTTCCGTGATGTTCACCCAGAGCCAGAATTTTACTACCAATCCATATGCATGTCAACGTGATTTCATGTCTGTTTATTATGTATCATTTGCAAACTCTTTGGGATTTTCAGAAATACATCCCTATTGTTTCCCATTCACTTTTACTCTGTGTTTCATGGAGCAGTTTAGTGCCCATCATAACACCAGTATTGCTTTGGAAGCACAATGTCCATTAACTTGCACTTTCACACTGAGTTAAATGTGTAGATTAGTAAACTGCAGAATAGTGTAGGTTTTAAGTAAGAATCAGCCATTAGAATTGCCTTACAGTCAGAGAAGTGACTTTTAGGAAATGTTTTCTTGACTTGATCTGCTTCCTCAGTGCAGTCAGAGGCCAAACTGTTTATTTTACTGGCAATCCATCTTTATTGCTTGTGCTGGCTTTAACACTGCCATTCAGACAATCCACCCATTAAATATGAGAAGGATCCTAGCATCCTAAAATCCTAATAAGGTTACAAACAGTTCATTTAAAGGGGATTTGAAAGGAGTCCAGCAGAGATCTTTCTTTTTGAGGGTCAGAAAAGCACTATATTTCAGGGCTGAAAAACCGCTTTGCCCCTGATGGATGGGACACTTTACTCGACATGGCCAAATCCCTGTGGTCAATTTGTGGAGCACCTACCTCCCATAAAAAAAAAAATAATAAAAATATATATATATAGAAAAGGGGGGGGGGGAGTCCTGGCTCTTCTGATCACAAAGATAACTTACCAAGCGTGACGTGACGCAATGATGTCTTTCTAAGTCAGCAGCCAGCCA